TATTAAATCATTAATAATAAATATTTAGCGTTAATAATTTAACAATATTTAATATTTAGTATATTATTCAATTATTAATTAATATTAATAATAATTATTATTTATTATATTATTAATTCAATTTAATAACTAGGTAGGTTTCATAACCTTTTAACTAAGTAACAATAGGTCTTTGTGAAAAAGCATTGCTAAATTTCTTTGAAAAAATAATTCAAACTCCTTTATTTGTTTAAAAGGTAGGTACTACAAATGTCATTATGGTCATTCAAAATTCTTGGCATAGCTGCTAACGTCACGCATATTCTATTTCTTTTTACTTGTAGATTGTCTTATTCGCATCTCGCTCGCACACGCTCGGCGTCCATACTGATAATTTTGTGTCACGGTGCGCGCGCAACGTAAAATTTCACTCTCATAAATTTTTCATAACGCGCCTAAAGAAGTATAACTTCAAAAAGAATTGGCCAAATTGGTCTAGGCGTTGTTGAGTTATGCGTTTACTAACACATTTTGCGATTCATTTTTATTGCGATTTATTTTATAGATTAAATGTCACACAAATATACCGTATTTACAATATTCTTAACCTACATAGTAATAATAAGAATTAATAAAAAGAAAATTAAAACAAATTTAAAATATTTGGTCTCTGTGGCACCTTTGGCTGGATGGATTTCCTCGCTGTATTGCGATAAATTCCTTGAGCGAGGAAAGCGCCAGCTCTGGAGTCATCGGGGCATTTATTTATTTTTAGTCATATTCACAAGTTCGCTTACAATAAAATCTTTACATTTCAAATTCTTTTTCATTGTTACATTTAGATTTTGGATTTAGAACACTAAGCGAACCCTTGTGATTGGCGCAGCGTTATCTCCCGCGATAAGCCGTGTCATGTAAAGCCAATTTGTTATCTAAATCACACATTTGTATTGGATTTAACGGGCTTATATAGAATTATTGGCTTTCAGAGGGTTGCTGAGGGTTTCAGTATGTTATTATTAAACTTTTTTTAGTGATTTTATATAATATGTATATCTCTAATTTATATGCGGCTAGTCATTATTAAAACCGTGGCCCGTGGGGGCAAATCATGCACTGCTGGACATACATTTTGGTATTAATATTTTGGTAATCAATAAAGTTTTATAATATGTGTTATGTGTTTATATTATTTCATAAAAATACAAACACGTACGACACATAAATACTAAAATCAATATATTAACTTATGTTTAAGTTAAAATTATGTTTATATGGACTCCCCACGGCTTCATAGAGTTTTGGAAATCGGTCCAGAAGCTATTGGGTACATTCGTTATAAACATAAAATAATTTATTTATTTATTAACACTTCGTTGCCTACAGAAATATAATACAGTTGACATAATTAAATTCAAAGGAGGGTAACTGGCGGCCTTACGCTTTCAAGCGATATCTTCCAGGCAACCAATAATTTAAATATTGTCTCCTTGTAATATTAGTATAGATTAATATTATTACTATTTATTCATTCACATCTAGTTTCTCTTGTGTTTCAACGGGGTTATCAACGGGGCTCTAATTATTAACCTTAGTTTTACACATTGTTTCCCATTAAGTAAATAGTATGCAATTCCTATGAGAAATAAAGTTATTCTTAACCTAAAAAAGTGTCTTCGTCGTGTGTCACAAAGCTAACAACGATACAGATACGGAAATCTGATGCCAATGCCTAAATTGTGAAATTGACTCAAAACTTGGCGATTAAAGTGAGCGCAGAGTTTCTTGCCGGTTCTACTCGCCTGTTCTACGCCCTTGATTTGCGTAGTAAATGTAAATTTAGAATCAATTTAACATCTTTTCTGTTGACGTTCATAAGTGTACTTGGTTACCTAAGAGTATATGCATAAAGTTAATTTGAGATTGTGTTTGAAAGGTTGTAGCACCTTTTTTTTGGTATCATATCATATAGTAATCTCAATAAACAACTTTTGTATAATTCAGTTAAACAGTCTCTTTCTCTGTATGAGTACAAACCAAATTATTTTAAATATATAAATTGTTACCTTTAAAAATATCTTGCGAAAGCACCCTTTTCAAATGTTCCAAAAAGTTCTACGAATAACAATTTTGCAAGTTACCACGTGACTTCAAGAGGCTTCCTATTTCAATATTGAGCTTCCGTAGCACGTGCTTCTAAGTTTGCGACATCAGTGCTACGGGTTTCGAAAGCACTTCCGAACTTGGGTGACGTTATAATTATTAGGGTCGACAGGTTGTTTGAGAAAAGCTTTATTTTGTTCTAAGATACCTACTGTAATGGATTATACATATACATTTTCATTTAATTACGTCAATTTTTTTATGTTTCTGTAACGAAGTAATAATAAATAAAATAAATATTTTTTAAAAGGCCGGCAACGCACATGCGACCCCTTAATATCAAGAGTGTCCATGGGTGCCAGGTAAAAAAAAGTATAGCGTGGATACATTACTCCGTGTATTTTATTGATATTTTTGCTCTCGAAAAGGGCACGTATGACAATGTATGGAAATAATTGATGAACTGAACTGAACATACGTTTTTAATTGAATGTTGAGTGAACTAACAAAAGTTCTGCGTCATGTCAGTTCCTATACTATAAGAAATAGGTTTTTTGTTGTCAAGTTTTCCTACGTGTATGTATTCGTTTGTGATATAAATGTAAATATTTGGCGCATCTGTAATCTTTAACGGTAGATTATTTCATTAAAAATATTTTTTTAGGCGAGTATATTTATACCTCGTCATAGTCGTAGAATAGTGACGGATCTGACAAATAGTAAACTGTACAGGGCAGCCATTTGAAAATAAAATAATCATGTTAGTTTTTGTCACTCGTAACTATTTAAATTTCTATTCTGTTATTATAAAAATTGGTATTGGTCTGGTTTGAATCTAATTAAAAATAATAACTTTAAATTACACAGTTTTTTAGAAAAATCACATGTTTCTATCGAATCCGTCATTTTACCGACTGCTTAATTTGAAATTTAAAACTCATGGATTTTTTTTAATGTAGCCGTAATATTTAGTCAATGTAGTATCCAAATATGATAAAAACTGGATTTTGTGTTTTTTTTCAAATCCGACATTGTTCTACGATCATGAAGACCTGTTCGAGCCAAGGGTTTACATTTCGCCCACTTAAACTTTTTTATTATAAGCGTGGCGATTACCTAAATTGTCGGAGTTACGCCCCGAGAGTATAGCCAGACGCAGGCACTCTCTTCAACATTTTAGCATTCGTTTTATAGCAATTAACTTTTATTATAAGTGGGTGGATAGAGCGAAATAATATCTTCTATTATTAAACCAATACCTTACAATACCTGCTTTTTAAATGTTTGTACATATAAGTGGAGGCATGGCTGTCCCAGAAGTTTCAAATAACGCTGCGTGTTAACGATTCTTTTTGTTTATAGTGATCTACATTCTGCCTTACCAGTTTATGTTTCCACCACACAGTTGTAAACTTCTTTTTCTTTCTGATTATGTATAAAAGTCAAAAATCATTTATTCATATAGGTAACACAATGTACACTTATGAACGTCAAAAAAGAAATATACATTAAATGCTTCTAATTTTACTACCAGTTCTCAAATCAAGGGCGTAGAACGGAAGAACTGGCAATAAATTCTCCGCCACTCTTTTTAATCGCCATGTTTTTTGTTTTACATTTATAAAATAAATGTCAAGGCTTAGTGCTAAGTACGATCAGATTTTTTACATTCGGGAACTATTATCATTCTATATAATACTTTATAACTCTGAATCAAGCCCTAATAGTTCGCTCTGATGATGATCCCTACGGGCTGACTGAATCAATAAGAAAAAGCGCTTCAAGTGCATTTTCTATTTCAATTCGTTGTCATGGGCAAATCATGAAGCACGCAATATCGATTTTTTTGTGTAAGTCAGGGTCGCATCTCTACGGATTCATTGAGAAATGATTGCATTGTTTCTGTGATGTCATGAAACCTTTTTCTATGAATAACTCAGCGAATACTGTTTTTATAGAAGATTCTGCGCCCGCGAACTTCGTTTCTGCTTAACGTGATTTTACTTAGCCTACCTTTTTAGTTTATACCGAACATGGAACATTTTGCTATGCTACCCCAGAAACTGTTCGGTTTTCTGGAATAAAAACTTTTCAGGTTTTTCTGTGAATTTCTTCAGAGTTCAAGTCATAAAGGAGTGGATCGTAGAGAGATAAATTAAGGGTTGAAGGTATTTTGTACACTGTAAAAAAATTAAAACAATTTTTTTTATCTAAATAATAAAAAATAAAATTTAGTGGTGGACCACCCTTATCATACAAAATTTCATAAGAATCGGTCAAGCCGTTTCAGAGGAGTATGGGAAGGAACATTGTGACACGAGAATTTTATATATTAGACTATCAGACCGGCCAAGCGTTGCTGTGGCTAAGGTTTTTACATAGTAGCAAACTATTCAAGGGAAACGGTAGGAGAACACCAGTCATGGAGACCACTATGCCTTTTTTGGTGGTTATGCCATTAAATTGTAGCTTATGTGAAACGCTGGTAGTTTCAACACGGCGCCATCTGTTAGAATTGTGACTATCAAATAATAAACAAATATTTTGCAATAAAATAATATTGCGGGTATAAATTGAGATGTAAGCTATCCTATCTTTTAAGTTGGATCAAACTACACACGGTGTGCAAATTTGATTGATATCGGTTCGGTAGTTTAGGAGTCCATAGCGGAGAAACAACGTGACACGTAATTTATATATATTAAGATAGACGTCTTCGTCAATTCAGTTATATTCATAGGAAATCATAATACGAATATATCCTTTAAGAAAACAGTCCACTTTTAAAAGATCGGCAAGGCACTCACCCTGGTAATGTGAGTCATTGGTGAGCCTCCTGCCCAATTCTTCCCTGTTCTATAACAGAACCTCTGACTTAAGTTTGGAAGTAACCAGGTAACTTATCCTTTTTTCTGCAGAATGGTCTACCATCTCCTGAGAATCCATATATTTTCAACGGTGACTTCGTGGATAGGGGAAAGAAGAGTTTGGAAGTGCTGCTCCTGCTTTTGTCATGTATGTTGGCATTTCCTGGAGGAGTTTACCTCAACCGGGGTAATCATGAGGATCTCATTATGAATGCTAGGTACTTTTAGTTGACAATTATTTTAGATTTATAATATGTGTGAACTTAATTAAAGATTATTAAAATTAAAAGATAAAAATAAAGACCATATTGACTGACACTCACTTATTATAGTTTTTAAAAGTCTGTTTTTAATTTTTCATTATTATTAGTTAGTTATTTCTATTAATTAGTTCTACATACACTCTGAAACGCTGTTTTAATAGATACCACATCATTTAATAAGGCTCCCATAACAAACATACATATTATATAAACACGCCTACAGCAATTAACTGTATTTATGTTAATGCTATCATTGTTTTAATTACATTATATATTTAAATGACGTTATCACTGTTGTCATATCAAGATAAATAGAATAATCCTAAACATATAAAAATGGATACCTGCAGCTGCATTTCATCGTTGAAGGTACAATATGACATTGCATCACAACAACTTCTTTCACCACGATGTCCGCATTTCACAACTCTGCGTGTGACCGCGAAATCACACTGGACTTCTTCTGCAGCTGTTAGGTTCGACCTGGAGCAAGAAATAATTACAAAGATGTTACTGCAACAGTTATTTTAAACACTCCAGGTCGCACCTGGCGGTTTTCTGTATAAAAATACCTTTAATTGTAAAACGTATTAATAGAGAGGAAGGTGTAAAAGAGCCGCTAGAAGCAGTGCTACCTCTTGCCTGTAAATATTAAAAGAATATTATCAGATAAGTGGCGTGGTTCCCGCGTAGCCCGTCACTATTAATGATAAGCTTTTAAATACAATCCTTTAAGAATTTTATTCTTAGATTTCGACTCGGCTTAGAATCCTTTAAGAATTGGATTCTTAAAGGGCCGAAATCGTAACGCAAGATTCATTCAAAAGATAAAATTTAGAGTTGGGACTTGACTGTGGCTTCTGTATGTAAAAATCCAATACGTTTTTGACGGAGGTCGACTTTAGAGCCATCGAAATTGTATTCAATCTTTTCTCTGGAATTAATTAGATTCAACGAATTGTTGCTTGGGAAATCAGTCAATCAATTTGGGGATTAATTTAATGTTTTTTTTCCACAGATACGGCTTCATAAGAGAAGTTCATCAGAAATATAAGGTAAGCAATATATTAGGGTTTTATTTAGAGGAGCTTCAATTGTAATGTCTAAGTCATCCAACGTTCTCCCCGGACCTTGCTCCAATAGATTACCATTTTTTTTTAATTTGGATAACGTTTTTTTAGTAAAGGGCTCAATGAGTTACCTATAAGATGGTAAAAGTTAAACATACTTTGATTAATTAAATATATATTTTAAAAAAACTTTTTGTTTTTCCCATAAAAATGCCAATTTCATGTCAGGACTCAGGAGATTTAGGGTTATTATGCCATTCATTTATCTGTTTTATTGCTTCTTAATTTTAGACAAATTGTTTATAACATTTTATTTTGTTCAAGTGCTTTTAACTAGCAACAAATATAATGTGCCATCGCTTATAAGACGGTTAACGAGGTAGGACAACGATGAAACTATATCATAGTTATTCTGATAGGTATTCCTTTGGCATAGGCCGCTCTCAGTAAAATCCATCTCATCCTACAGCGAGTTAGTCATCACTTATTGTTCTTCCATCTCTTGAAGTCTGTATACTCGAAAGGACAAAAATGGAATGGGACACGTTATGAATGTGGAACAGTGGACGATACATATTATATTTTGTGATATGTTTAGGCCGGCAACGTATTCGCAAGCCCTCTAATAGTGTGAGTGCCCACTGGCGGTTTCCCTTAACATCAGATAAGCCTGGTAAGGCCTGTTTGCCATCTATTCTATAAAAAAAAAACGTGTGGCACTCGGGGACTGCCGCGGTTAAGTTATTGCATAGCATTTTTTTATCAACTTTTGTAATTATAATTATTCATTTATTTATTAATTTTTCTTTGATATTAATTCAAGATTTTTCTTTGATATTAATTCAATCTACTACTCTACCAGACTCAGACTAACACGCCTATATAGTCTGTCTCACAGTAACGCGTACCGGCTGCACCGGCCGCGCTTACGCTAAGTCACCGATCACGCCAGACCGATGTTTTTTTTTTTTTTTATAGAACGGCGGGCAAACGGGCAGGAGGTTCACCTGATGTTAAGTGATACCGCCGCCCATGGACACTCTCAATGCCAGAGGGCTCGCGAGTGCGTTGCCGGCCTTTTAAGCATTGGTACGCTCTTTTCTTGAAGGACCCTAAGTCGAATTAGTTCGGGAATACTTCAGTGGGCAGCTGGTTCCACATAGTGGTGGTGCGCGGCAAAAACTTGAAAAACGTTCAGTTGTGGAACGTCGGACGTCGAGGTGATACGGGTGGAATTTCGTATTCTGCCTCGACGTCCGATGATGAAACTCAGCTGCAGGTATTAATCCGAACAACTCCTCTGAACACTCTCCATGGTAAATGCGGTAGAATATGCAGAGTGACCCCACATCTCTACGCAACGCCAAAGGATTAAGCCGCTCGGAGAGGGATTGGTCGTCGACGATTCGAACCGCTCTGCGTTGTATACGGTCAAGTGGAAGGAGCTGGTACTGGGGAGCCCCCGCCCAGAGGTGAGAGCAGTACTCCATGTGGGGCCGAATTTGCGCTTTATATAGTTGCATGCGGTGGCCCGGAGTGAAGTACCGTCTCGCCTTGCTGAGCTTTTTGGAGGCTAATTTAGCCTTTCCCTCCAAGTGACCGCGAAACTGAACGTCACACGATATGTCAACGCCAAGTATTCCAATGCTGGCTGTGGCTTTAAGAAGAGTGTTTTCGAAAAAAGGAGTAGCGACAAAGGGTGTTTTTTTAGCGGAAAACGCGCAAACTTGTGTCTTCTTGGGGTTAAATTGGACTAGGTTTTGTTTGCCCCAATCTGAGACTCCACATAGTAGAGTTTCGACTTCAGACACAAGTTTGTTCCGGTACTCATCAACAACTGCCCGAGAAATACCTGCCCGGCCAGTGTAAAAAGTATCCCCAGTGCTGTCATCCGCATAGTAATGAATGTTGCTAAGTTTCAACATATCATTGATATGCAGAAGAAATAGGGGGAAATAGGGTTTTAGGTCGGAACATGCTCCGTCGATGACGACCTTGATGTTCCGATCGGCCAGAAAGCTGGAGATTCAATCGCATAATTTCTCGGGAAGCCCATAGGCTGGAAGCTTCGAGAGCAGTGCTCTGTGCCACACCCGATCGAAGGCTTTCGCTATGTCCAAACTAACCGCTAGCGCCTCCCCCTCGGACTCAATTGCCTCTGCCCACCTATGTGTAAGGTATACAAGAAGGTCACCAGCCGAACGACCACGATGTGAGACGCAGTATGCGTTCTGTCCCATTCTAACGCACCTGCGCTACGTCACCGATCACTCCAGACCGATGTGAGACGCAGTATGCGTTCTGTACTACTCTAACGCGTATTGGCCGCACCTATAGTACGTCATCGTATGTTAGGTTTTTATTTTCGTTACGGAATTTCTTGATTCGGTCGCCGCGCTCAAAGCCCGCGATAAAATCTATGAAATACCTTAAAAATGAAGATATATGCTATGTATGACAGTGAAATAATTTAATGTTAAGTAGTTTCAAAGATTGGAACCAACTCATGAACAAATAATTACTATTGAACGTATAATTTCTGTTGAACGCAGGTCCTTAGTAGACGCCAAAGTAGAATGAAATAAAAAATGTAAAACGTCATGAAATAAAAAGAAAAGTGTAGCTGCAATTAGAGTCGAGTAAAGGGAAACTTCATTTGCGGTTTGAAGCGGAATTTCTTCTACGAACTCCATTAACTTCATTTTTAAAACAATAGCTACTAGTGAAACGTTTTAAAATATCAGTTATTCATATAGGCTAGTTATCAATTTAAAAAAAGCATTGTTATGTGCCTATCTGATTAGGCTAATTCGCTATGTATTTGTATTTAATTTTTTAAATTCTTTCTAACATTTTATGTTTACCAAAATTGTCATATATTTTAGAGAATAATAGCTTGTAACATATACTGTTGATATAGCATTATGTATGATGTGGGGAACTTTAATAAATAAAAATAGGTTTCTTTACCTATCAAAAAATCGCTAAATTTCTATTGACAGTCCTCAAAGCAAAAATACTTGGAAATGCGAAAATAAAGGAAAAGTGGTCTTTCCACGTCATGATAGACAATGCAAGTTGTCGATAAAACAGAGCAAGCGCCAACTAGCGGCCCAGACTGTTTTACCGACGTTTGAACAGATATTCAGGGAGTCGGTTTTTTATGACGGTGTGCGCGCGCATCGTAAAAATGTACTCTCATCATTTTTCTCTAACGCGCCACAAAAAAAATAAAAAAAATAAAATATGTTTATTATGGAACATAAGATACATGTATCACTTATTCCACGTCATTCAATTTGAACTTTTAGGCATCCCTACTCATCGGCAAAGAAGACAGAGGGTGTAGGCCGAGAGAAAAAGCCGGCGTAAAAAACTCTCGGTACTCTTTTAAAACAGCAAATCATCAAACAACACAGAAGTATAACTTCAAAAAGATAATATAAACAAACAGCATGGTGAAATAAAAGCATGCAACGGTATTATAGAAAGATCAACACGCAAACATACAAATCACAGATTAAATGTATATTTCCGTGGAAGAGTACCCTCTAGATGCCCTAGGCATCCCCTTGTCCCCTCTTCTCCCCTTGTTTCACGACCTCGTTTTGGCCATATCCAGATTAAGCATTTTGATTTACGATCTAGGTCTGGATATTCACAGACGCTCCTCTCAAACTTTGAAATTAATTTACTATATTTCCTGATTTATGTGTGCCTATTACCGTTGGTCACATTTAAACGTATTTTTTTATCTCTGTATGTATTTTAAACGAATGGATCAGTGTTCCGTTGACAAACATTTGTGTCTAAAATAAAAAAGTTACAGCCAGTTAATAAGTTTATCTTTAGATGTTCATATTTGATTACGTGTTTGGAAAGGTTTATTGGGAACTTATTACGTACACAAATCTTCGTAAACCGACGTCAGAGAAAAGGTTATATAAAGTAGTCTACTTAGCTTCAATTTTTGGAACTATTATTATTAATAATAATAATATTAGTTCCAAAAATTGATATTCTTCACACATGGCGTTAAATTTTATCTTATGTAATTAAAAGCAAGAATTGTACATAACAGTTACATATTTATTTATTTATTTATACTACATTGCCATAATACACATAATAATACATATAAAAAAAAAGAAAATACATATTATATTGTCAATGTCAATTCTTATATTTTTTTATCACTACTTCATCATATTATTAAAATATATTTTACATTACCAAATTAATAGTTATTATAATGTTAAGTCGTTTAAAAACTTTAGTAGGAAGATCTTTGATTTTTTTTGTAAATTATAAGCCTTGATGGCGTACAAAAAGTGTTCTTCCTACACAGTTCCAGATTTTTATAATTTTATTTGTATAATTAAAATGAAGTTAATTTATCAAATATTCTGATGTGTTTGGTCTGCTTCTCTTTAAACTCTATGGGCCTAAACCAAAATGGTTTCCAATCAGAAAGTTCATACTTTAGAAATCGAATTTCTTACTCACGTATATATAACTGCTAATTGTTCAGTTTCGAAGTCCACGCTCTGTTCAGCGGAAAGCTTATTAAGAAGTTTGAAATTGTACTACGTTTATTGAATCGTAAATAGTAACGTGAGTTACGTAATCACCTTATTATAACAGAAAAAATGATATGAATAAGGAACACAAATAATTATCTGTCACCGTCAAGGTCCGTCATTCCAGAACAGCGTTTCTGAAGGCAGTTTTTGCCGCGCACCACCACTGTGGAACCAATTGCCCACTGAAGTACTTCCGCACCAATGCAAAGTCAAAGTCAAATCTTTGCATTCCTTATTTTCATATTTTACAGGTGGCATGTTATAATTTTGTTACAATAAGGACTTTGGTTAAGCACAGCAATTTTGTGAGAGAGCCTATACATTTTTAATCTTATAAGTATGTACATTATTTATTTATAATACTTGCTCAGGCTTCACGTTGCGACAAAATAGTATACAGTACTTAACGTTATTAATAAACTTAACTTATATATAAAGAAATTAAAATCTATCAGTCAGATATTCTGTAAGTAAAAAAAATTTAAACAGATTTAAAAAGTTTGGTCCCTGTGGCAGTGTACCTTTAACGCTGGCAGCAATCGCTGTATTGCGATACTATTTCGTTATTTACAATTACATTTATTTTGATTGTTTTTTTGAAGTCAAACTTCTTTAGGCGCATGATGGTTATTTTTTTACGAATGAAACGCTATAATAATAATATCGTCACGAAGATGTGCAGCGTTTTTGTCGAATAAAAGGGAGAGAGTGATTGAGACCGTTTGAGAGAGAGTGAGAAAGGGCGAGGGTGAAAATTTAATTTACAATTTCTAATATTCACAAAAAAACGTGGCTTTTCAATGTACAATTCGTCATTTGAGATTTTAATAAATAATATTACATAAAGTATAAAATAATAATAATTCATTAATTCTCTTTACGAAATTTTAATTTTAAAAATATAATTTCTATTATTATTAAATTACAAAAAGTTTCACTTCTGACATGTGTACTTTGTACGCACGCACTTTTATTTAAGATGTGTGTACAGGACAACGTCTGTCGGGTATATATTGTATAATACATATCAAACGCTAACATTTTAGCTACAAATGTATTTAATCAATAATGCAATTTCGCTTGTTTACAGCACAACGCTGAGCGTCTCCTCAAACTAATTGAGAACGTGTACCGCTGGCTGCCTCTGGGAACCATTATCAACAATCGTGTGTTCGTAGTCCACGGAGGAATCTCTGATACCACAGATCTGGATATGGTGAAGAGCCTTGAACGTGATAAGGTAATTTGTACGATTTAAAACAAATGGTGACTTTCACCTGTATAATACTCGAAACAGAACTAATCTAAGCATACGACCAACCAGGCTCTAAATGATAAACTACTTATATGGAAATTGTATTCGTTTTTACAACAAACTCCCAAGCGAAGTTAGAGAACTATCACTAAATCAATTCAAAACTTCAATTAATCTATAAATATTTTTATAAATTTGATGATTATTTAAATGATACTAATCCTTGGGATTGATATTCTCCAGTTCAAACAAAACTTTGCGATTAAAAAGAGTGTCGGAGAGTTTCGTGCCCGCTCTACGCCCTTGACTTGCGAACTGGTAGTAAATGTAAATTTAATTTAATTTAACATCTCTGTTGACATTCATAAGTGTACTTGGTTACCTATATGAAAAAAGTTATTCTTTTAGTTACCCACGCGAGTGCTACTAAATAAATCTACTTCTGTGGATATTTTTACTGACGGTGTACGAATCTAGCTTATACAATGAGTTTGCCTAAGAAATAATATTAGGTTGACTTAATTTTCTGTAATACTAGTAAATAGCTTATTAAGCTTTATTAATTAATTATTAAGCTTTATTAATTAATTATTAAACTTTATAAATTACAATGTAAGGGTCACGCTACTCAATGTCTAGATTAAATAAATATGCGAGCGTGATCTTACTCTTTACATACTAATGTTAACCGTACTCAGTCGTTATCAGTTAAATAAAGATAGATTCAAAAGCTAAATGATTGCAATTAAATAAATCGACAACTCTGAGCGATATTTTTAAGGAATTGCAAAACAAGAGTGTTGTTTGACAAATAAAACAGCTAATTCACATATAATTGTACTATAAACGATACATAGCTCATAATTAAATATAAATTCAATAATATACACAACGTTTTTTATATTATACTAAGTTTTAGGTTCCGCTTAACTTATATTATGATAGATTGTCAAAAAGTACCAAAAACTTTTCAGACCGAGCTCCTCAAAGAAACTATTAAAAAAATCTTTATTGAACATATCCTTAAAAACGATAGGGGCTTTTTAAATTATAATTCATGTCATTAAAAAGCGTTCCATATTCGATTGTGATCTAAGATGTGCGTTCCAAATTTAAATGTTGAGCATAGACAAGTAGTCACGTGATTCCATACAATTGTCACGCTTCGTTCTTGTCTAAGCCCCATTTAAATATGGAACACATTTAAGATGTTAGCCTGACCTTAGAAAAAGAATAGCTTAAATTTGTTTATGGTCATATAAGACACATTGTACATAATAAAAAAAATATTAATAAAAATAAAACATTATTACTTAAAGTAAGAGTAACAGTTATATTATGTTTTTTTATGCGTTAATGATATTTATTACCAACACACAAATATACAACAAAGTATTAACAATATTCTTAACATACATAGTAATAATAATTAAATATGGATAAATAGAAAGCTAAAATTAATTTAAAAAGGTCGGTCCCTGTGGTACCATTAATGCGGATAGCATCTCCTCTATTTATTGCGACTATTCGTTCAGCGAGGAAAGCACCAGGTCTGGGGTCACTGATTAATTCGTCAAATATTTTCCTGACAGTCGGTTTGTTTTAAAGTGGAAGATACCACGTATCAAGTAGTCCAGTGTCTCTAAAGGTTTTCACGTTAAAATTTTTTACATCTCTGGAAATGCCTTTTAGATTATTTTTATCTCCTGTATTATATAAAGCGATATTATTATTACCGACATTGTCTTAAATTAAAAAAAAATTAAATTGTCTATTACCGATTCATACGTATTAGATAATTAAATTAATTAATTATAATTATTAATATATTATAAGAATTATGTTTGTGCTTTTCTGGTTCTAGGTACCACAGGAAAAATGTTTAAATTTCTTTTAGTTATATTATTATTATTATTTGATGGCAAAGTATTATTATTATTAGATGGCTACGTAAATCTAGACACCAAGAGGAGTAGACGCTATTAGAGGAGGCCTATGTCCAAGGACAAGCTATTTGGACAAGGTATTTTACAGCAATATATGCTATTATTATTAGACGAAAAAGGTAAATTTAGGATCAATCCACGAGGCGAATACAACTTGAATTTCAAAGTAAACTCGGGATTCGAAGTTTTGAAGCAAAGTTCCGACTTGTAAGATGGAGCTTTCTAACAAATGTAACTTGAACGAAAAATTTAAAACTAAGTTATCGCGGATCAGATAAACTATATAATTTAAGATGACTTCAGAAGAACTTCTCGTTTGGGTAACTTATTGACAATATGACTTAAATTTGCGTGTTACATAATATCTTTATATATATATATATCTTAACGACCGTAATGTAACGTTGGGTGACGTCACCCATACGTTGTCTATAAATAACATATTTTTTTAATAACATCGGTTTTCTAGAGAACTTTGAGTGTCACCGTAACGCCAAATAGCGGTGCTGTCATTTGCATGACGGCCGTCATAGCGGTGATAAACATTAGTTCAACGTTTTTCGCGTGTAGCGGTGCCCATATTTAATTAATACAATGAGTGGAAACGTGACTTGGACGAGCGAAAATGATTGTTTTTTTGCATTATGTTAAAAAGTAAAGACGGCTGTTATTAACAACAGTAAAATGACGGCCGTTAGTTAACGGCACTACTTTTCTAGGAAACGTAAGCTTAAGTATGTATTTTAATTAAAAAAGAATCGCATCGAATCTTTGTATTGCATTTTTGGTAATACAGTAAAAGGTCATTGGAGAGACGAAATTCACATAAAAAATAAATATATTACTGGCGCTACAACCTTTTTAGGTCTGGGCCTCAGATTTATTTATCTGTTTCATGATCATTTGTCAATCTAATAGTCAAGTAAGTGATCAGCCTCCTGTGCCTGACACACGGTGTCGATTTTTTGGGTCTAAGGCAAGCCGGTTTCCTCACGATGTTTTCCTTCACCGTTCGAGCGAATGTTAAATACGCACATAGAAAGTCAATTGGTGCACATCCCGGTATCGAATCCACCTCATGGAAGACAGTTGCACGCTGTAGCCCCTAAGCCAACACTGCACACGCTATTCACAAACAATTACCAAAATAAACACTTTTTGCTTTTTACTGTAACAAAAGAAAGAATAGAATGTATAATATACATGAATTTTTACTAAGGATGCAAAAAACCCTGAGCACATACTTTATAATTATTTATGATGACACTCTTGAATATTTAAAATATAACGAAAAGACGTGCCATTAATTATTTAATAGTTTTCAATAAAAGTGATTAAAACTTTGCCTTTGCTGCCCGAGTATTTCCGCTGAAGCACTGAGATTTTATTATTAGATTAATTTAATTTATATGAGGACTAGAAAGTTTCACTGAAAGTGGTGTTTTATTATAGGATTATATATAACTTAATTAAATACGTGCTAATTCATATTTCAGTCCATCAGTTGTTATTATTCAAATATTATTATTAAACATTTCTTATTATTATTGAAAGAAAAAACTTTTTAACCGGATTAAAGTTATGTATTATTATTAATTTACAATTATTTAACATAATTTTAAATTTATCCGACGTTTCGCGTGCTTTACAGAGTGCGTGGTCACGGTGACATATAATACATAACTTTAATCCGGTTAAAAAGTTTTTTCTTTAAATGTGTAAAGGTTATGTTAATCAAAGACAATACTATTATTATTGAGTTTACCATATGCCAGGGTAATAAATATTTTATTAAAAATAAATCAGTGGCGCTACAGCCTCTTTAGGTCTTGGCCTCAGATTTCTGAATCTGTTTCATTATCATTATTAAATCTAGGCAAGTAGGTGATCAGCCTCCAGTGCCTGACACACGCCATCGACTTTTTGGGTCTAAGGCGTGTCAGTTTCCTCACGATGTTTTCCTTCACCGTTCGAGCAAATTTTAAATGCGCACATAGAAAGAAAGTCCATTGGTGCACAGCCGGGGATCGAACCTACGACCTCAGGTATGAGAGTCGCACGCTGAAACCACTTGGCCAACACTGCTCATGTTTATTTGCTACATATTTTATTACTAAACGAAATAAAGTATTTCCGAATTAAAGTTCACCAAATAATTCAGATCGCGTTTTATTGTCACTCAAACGGACAACCAATTTGCTCCGTTTACTGCTTGCGTGTTTCATCAATACATATAAGAACGTGACTGTCTCTGCTATTGTAAAGCACTTGTAATGAGCTGTTAAATATTAATTATAATTAAGCCTAATTTATTAAAGCCACACATAAAGGAAGAAAAGTAACATGTTTTACACATTAGAACTAATGTTCGATAATAGGTGCGCAGACATAATACTTATAATTAATAAGTTAAAAAAGGAATGGCGCTACAACCTTTTTAGGTCTGTTTCATGATCATTTGTCAATCAACGATTATCTAGTTGATAAAAGGGCCTGGGACTAGTGCTAGACAGGATACTTCTAATTAATTTGCGATATTTGTTTTAAAATAAGTGTTGTTTGATGATTTGCTATTTTAAAAGAGTACCGAGAGTTTTTTACGCCGGCTTTTTCTCTCGGCCTACACCCTCTGTCTTCCTTGCCGATGAGTAGGGATGCCTACAAATTGAAATTTAATGACGTGGAATAAGTTATGTTCCATAATAAACATATTTTTTTAAAATCTAATAGGCAGTAGGTTCGCAGCCTTCTGTGCCTGACACGTCGACTTTTTCGGTCTAGGCATGCCGGTTTCCTGAATTATTATTACGAGATAATTAATAAAAAAAGAAATTAAATTAATTAGCAAAAGAATCCAAGATATAACAGAATGCCCTTCCTGTAATCGGATGGGCGATCCCCATATATTAGTTGTTATTGCTTTTAGGGTTTGTCCTGCAAAATTCGGTTGGTCTGACGGACACTGCCACTAGGGTGCTATATTCATCATTAGTAAGGCCAATTCTGGAAACCAGCTGCGTCATATGGTCCCCCTATGAAAGGTATTATGGGGATATGATTGAACGAGTGCAAAAGAAGTTCCTGAGAAATCTGTATAAAAGAAGATACAATTTTTTTTCCTTACCTCTACCCTACTAAGTTCTTGATGGGGGTGTTAGGGTATAATTCATTAGAGCTTCGTAGGGATTTTTCGGTGGTCAGGTTTGGTTTGAGTGTAATCAAGAATGAAACGGAAAGCGCATACTTGCTGGGAGAAATCTTGAGGCTATACGTTCCGGACAACTATTACCGCTGCCGGAAACAGAACCTTTTCGCTGTGCGTTCGGCTCGCACTGTCCAGCGACAACAAGCGCCCATTCCTCGTTTACTCTCGCTGCTTAATGGGTTTCTCGAGTGTTCGCCGGAAAGCGATCCATTTGGGAAGCTTATGGGGGTAGTATGCTGTGATTTCAGAGTATACTTGGAGGGGATAAGAGGATAGCATTTACTGTCAATTTTGTAAATAACCTAATTGTAGGGGCATGGGCTGTAAATAAATAAATAAATATATATATAAATAATACTGGTAAAAAAGGTAACATACACATTCATTTATGGACTATATTGATCATTGATATAAAACTGGCTAATATTATCTCAAGGATCTCTTGACAGTAAAGGCCTCCTCCAACCGGCTCATCTCAATCTTCAGCATTTTTCTGCCAATCTTCCCATCGACTTATGTAAGCCAGCTCCCAGCAAGGTGGCTTTGACCACGGCCGGTTGAATTATATATATATATTCACGTGTGATATAATAATGACAGCTGGAATGATTTTTAAGATAGATACAAATTACTAGATTAGATTTTAATTTGATTAATCATGCACTACATCGTTAAAAGCGGTGGCCAAATAGCCATTGGCACGTGAAGAAAAAGGATTTCAACTTCAATTATTAGGTCAGGCACTACACGATTTTTCTAAAAAAAAAAATGTTAGAGATCAAAATCTTATCGTAGAAATACCAGTACAATCTCAGTTCCATGTCTCTCATATTCAGATAGTACGGACGTGCGGGACTTGTTAATTTGTGAAAGTAAATGAAGTACTACTGAACTTTAAAAGTAAAATATTCTAAAGAGTAAGATTCCGAAACAGAGCCTAGTGGCTTCAGTGAGGTGGATTCGATCCTCGGATGTGCACCAACGAACTTTCTTTCTATGTGCTCATTTAACATTCGCTCGAACGGTGAAGGAAAACATCGTGAGGAAACAGGATTGCCTTAGACCCAAACAGTTGACGGCGTGTGTCAGGTACAGGAGGCTGATCACCTGTCTATTAGATTAAAAAAAATATCATAAAACAGATACAGAAATCTGAGGACCAGACCTAATATGTTGTAGCGCCACTGATTTATTTATTTTATTTTTATTTAAGATTCTGAAACATTTAATGTTAAAAAAAGAAACAGTTTTTTTACTATTATTTCACTGTCTATTTAGAATTAAATAATTACCGTAATTTGGAGCTGACATTCTATTGACTGTTCCACAAATTTTTCTTTATAGGCAATCCCGTACACCTGAACAATTATTTATTTAGTGTCAAAGGACTGTGTTAGTTAAACTGTAAACATTTTTAAGAGGATTTCATTTAGGTCGTAGGTAGGTGACCTTTTACATGTATTTTAATACAAAGAATATTACAGTACGCGAAAGTTCAAAGTTCAATATACCAATTCAAAAGCTCATTGGCCGCGTGTAGTATGACACCAATAGGTCTAGACTTAGCCGGTGTTGTTTCGGATATATATGATAATAATTTTAATTTTAATTCAGTATCAACTCGTAAAATAAAACTCATAAGTTAATTATTTTTCAATTTTCTTTCGATTATTATTATTTTTCTAATAACTATAACACTGAATAATAATGCATATTTATGCTAGAAATGTGTTGTGACTGTAATTGTTTGAGGTATTTAGTATGTACTTGGTATTTATATGGTCGTCACAGACCGTGATGTTATAAGGCGACCTTAAATTAAAAAAAAGGCTGCGTGTACTTACGTACGCGCGTAAGAAGTTATACTTCTTTGGCATTAAACATAGTTTTTGATTGCATGCAAATAATTAATTACAATTAAATAATCAAAGACTGGAAAAGGAGTCATTATAGTCTATAAAGTTCAGTTTACATTTGAAAAATTAAATAAATAAATATTTATTATTATTCTCTTACATTAAGTGTAACATAAATTCTATTATTATTCGAATATTGTTTTTAAATTATGTCCAATGCCGTAACATCTTCCGTGGGCAACTTCATTCTGTTAATTTTGTGTCACGGTGCGCGCGCATCGTAAAATTTCACTCTCATAAATTTTTCATAAGGGGCTTAAGAAGTATAACTTCAAAAAAAGCTAGGTTAATAAAACGAAAATCTAATTTGAGTAAAAAAAATTAAATGTAAAAACAATTAACCTGTTGAAGCTTAAGTTGTAAGTTTTTTAATTATTGGTTTCAGTACGCGTCATTGCTGCGACCACCAGTGGCTGAGGGCGCGGCTCCAGGTGCCGAAACCATTGATAAGGTGGAGTGGAAACAGGTATGTATTACACATAAAATTATTATTCCTGTAATAAAATGAAGCTGGGGTAAGTCACTCTATTTTTAATTACGCAGCAGTGTTGGCCTAGTGGCTTCAGCGTGCGACTCTCATCCCTGAGGTCGTTGGTTCGATCCCCGGCTGTGCACCACTGGTCTTTCTATGTGCGCTTTTAACATTCGCTCGAACGAAGAAAAACATCGGGAGGAAACCGGCTTGCATTAGAAAAAGTCGCCATGTGTCAGGCACAGCAGGCTGATCATCTACTTGTCTATTAGATTGACAAATGATGAGGTTATTTCATCAGCGCAATCAGTCAACCCCTTCCTAGTGGGAGTGCCATGCTGTTGCCTTCGGGCTTCAGCCAAATGGGCAGGCACGACCGGGGCAGTACCACTGTCTCTCAGAAAACCGGCGTGAAGTGATGCAATAGGTTCGCCTTATTGTACTCGCGATTCGTACGGTAAGGGAGACTCCGGAGCCCATCACCGGAAATATGAAGGTGCAGAACAAACAGAATCTACCCCAGGGGGTACCACACGCGCTCGCGGTGGAGAATACCCCTCTGGGCGTCCAACACCGGGACACTCAGCACCCGGTGGTGGACGCACAGGCTGCCCTTCGTATTCTGGGGGGGGCAATTCTGCGCTCTACAAAAACAGTTATCTAGTATTGTCTTTGATTAACATAACTTTTATTCATTTAATAAAACACTATTTTGACCGGTCACGGTGACCACGCACGCTGTAAAGCACGCGAAACGTCGGATAAATTTAAAATTATGTTAAATAGTTGTAAATTTATAATAATACATAACTTCAATCCGGTCAAAATAGTGTTTTATTAAAACAGTTATCGTTCTCCGGGCAAACGGAGCAATTCAACAAAGGCACCCCCGTCCACGCTCGCCGTGGACTTCACAAACGTTAGGGGGCTCAATTCCAATATCAACGCAGTCCACTACCATTTAGAGACTGCGAAGCCGGCCTTGCTCTTTCTTACCGAGACTCACATTTTCTCCCCGGCTGATACTTCCTACCTCTCCTACCCGGGGTACAAATTGGAACATTCATTTGTGCCGCGGGCGGGAGTTTGCGTGTACATCAGAGAGGATATCTGTTCTCGTCGCCTCGGGACGCTTGAAGGAAGGGACCTATCTAACCTCTGGCTGCGCGTAGACTGCGATGACCATCCGCGATTCTACGCATGCCTGTATAGGTCCCATAGCGGAAATCCAAATGGCTACAGATTCCCTGCTCGAAAGGGTTCCTACCGCTGAAATCGTGATACTTGGCGATTTTAACGCCCACCATGCTGATTGGCTCGGCTCTGAAACCACCGATCACGCGGGAAGATCCTTTCACGACTTAGCTTTAGCCTACGACCTGACACAAATGGTCCCTGCGATTACGCGAATACCAGATGTGGATGGTCATAAGCCCTCTTTGTTGGACCTTCTGCTGACTTCACATCCGGAGAACTATCAAGTCTCTGTTGACCCGCCATTGGGTTCATCGGATCATTGTGTGGTCCGGAGTACTGTGCCATCTACGCGCCTTTCACGGCCCCGCTTTATGGGTTGTCGCCGTATTTGGCACTATAAGTCAGCAGATTGGGACGGGATGCGGTCTTTCTTTGCGTCCTACCCTTGGGGGCCTATGTGCTTTTCGCCGGAAGCTCCAGATTCCGTCGCCGCCTCTGTCGCCGAAGTGGTTCTGCAGGGCATGGAACTCTTTATTCTATTTTCTGCGGTGCCGATCGGTGGCAAGTCTCAGCCCTGGTTTAAACGTTCTTGCAAGGCGGCCTCGCGTCGAAAGCGAGAATGCTTTAAGGCATGGGCGGAAGCGGCGAAATCTCGTGATGCCAATACCAGCGAACTTAAAACAGCATATAACTCAGCCTCCAGGTTCTTCAAACGGGAAATCACTAAAGCAAAGTCAGAGCACATTGCCAGATTTGGCGAGGGATTGGCCCAGCTCCCTTCAGGGACTCGAGCCTTCTGGTCTCTCGCCAAAGCTGTCCAAGGGAATTTTTGTCAGCCCGCCATTCCGCCACTGCACAGGGAGGATGACTCTCTGGCCCACACTGCGAAGGAGAAGGCCGACCTTTTGGGCTGTCTCTTCGCGTCCAACTCGACTTTGGATGACCAGGGAAGATCACCACCGACCATTTCGCGGTGTGATTCTTCGATGCCGGAAATCACATTCCGGCAACGTGCTGTCCGCAAAGCACTATCTTCCTTGGACATTCATAAGTCGAGCGGGCCGGATGGTATACCCCCAATTGTGCTGCGTACTTGTGCTCCTGAGTTGGCTCCGGTCTTAACGCGCCTTTTCCGGTACTTGTACTTGCTCGGCACTGTCCCGAAGTGCTGGAAGACCGCTTCGATACATCCGATCCCTAAAAAAGGCGATCGCTCTGATCCGTCCAACTATCGCCCAATAGCTATAACCTCCTTGTTCTCCAAAATAATGGAAACCATTATTAATTGCCAGCTCTTGTGGTATCTAGAGGGCCACCAGTTGATTAGCGATTCTCAGTACGGCTTTCGTCGTGGTCGCTCAGCTGGTGACCTCCTTGTATACCTTACCCATAGGTGGGCAGAGGCAATTGAGTCCAAGGGGAGGCGCTGGCGGTGAGTTTGGACATAGCGAAAGCCTTCGATCGGGTGTGGCACAGAGCACTGCTCTTGAAGCTTCCAGCCTATGGGCTTCCCGAGAAATTATGCGATTGGATCTCCAGCTTTCTGGCCGATCGGAGCATCAAGGTCGTCATCGACGGAGCATGTTCCGACCTTAAACCTGTGAACGCTGGGGTCCCACAAGGCTGTGTTCTATCCCCGACCCTATTTCTTTTGCATATCTATGATATGTTGCAACTTAGCAACATTGATAGCAACATGACAGCACTGGGGATACTTTTTACACTGGCCGGGCAGGTACTTCTCGGGCAGTTGTTGATGAGTACCGGAACAAACTTGTGTCTGAAGTCGAAACTCTACTACGTGGAGTCTCAGACTGGGGCAGACAAAACCTAGTCCAATTTAACCCCAAGAAGACACAAGTTTGCGCGTTTTCCGCTAAAAAAACACCCTTTGTCGCTACTCCTCTTTTCGAAAACACTCTTCTTAAAGCCACAGCCAGCATTGGAATACTTGGCGTTGACATATCGAACGACGTTCAGTTTCGCGGTCACTTGGAGGGAAAGGCTAAATTAGCCTCCAAAAAGCTTGGTGTGCTCAGCAAGGCGAGGCGGTACTTCACTCCGGGCCACCGCATGCAACTATATAAAGCGCAAATTCGGCCCCACATGGAGTACTGCTCTCACCTCTGGGCGGGGGCTCCCCAGTACCAGCTCCTTCCACTTGACCGTATACAACGCAGAGCGGTTCGAATCGTCGACGACCAATCCCTCTCCGAGCGGCATGATCCTTTGGCGTTGCGTAGAGATGTGGGGTCACTCTGCATCTTCTACCGCATTTACCATGGAGAGTGTTCAGAGGAGTTGTTCGGATTAATACCTGCAGCTGAGTTTCATCATCGGACGTCGAGACAGAATACGAAACTCCACCCGTATCACCTCGACGTCCGCCGTTCCACAACTGAGCGTTTTTCAAGGCAGTTTTTGCCGCGCACCACCACTATGTGGAATCAGCTGCCCACTGAAGTATTTCCGAACCAATTCGACTTAGGGTCCTTCAAGAAAAGAGCGTACCAATTCTTAAAAGGCCGGCAACGCACTCGCGAGCCCTCTGGCATTGAGAGTGTCCATGGGCGGCGGTATCACTTAACATCAGATGAACCTCCTGCCCGTTTGCCCGCCGTTCTATAAAAAAAAAAATCATGAAACAGATACATAAATCTGACTCCCAGACCTAAAAAGGTTGTAGCGCCACTGATTTATATATATATGTTTTGTTACAAATGTACAGAAAAGTTATGTCTAGTTCATGTTTCAAACACGCCATTGTGAATTTATTTTTAAACTTTACAAAATTGTACAAAACTTTCGCAGTTTCCAAAGTTAATCCATGTAGATGTGAGACCGTTGATGTTGTTTATTTGTTTATTTATTTCTTAATCCGCTTATTAAGTGACGGCCAGCGGTGAATCCCAAAAAACCAAATGTATTTAAATTACTTTAATTAATTACCAGTACAATAATTACTTAACTAAACATGAAAATTGAATCGGCCCGATATGTGCACGATCAAACAATCTTCATTATTATTACTAAAAAAAACAATTATACTAAAGATATAGCCAAAGATGAAATACATAATATTTTCAAAAAGGTTCTACCATTTACAAAAGGAAAAATCTATAAACTAACTTAATCTATAATTTAACTAATACCTTATTCGGCTGTGTTGTGTGATGGTGTGAAAGTGAGGGCATGTACGTGAGGCTGTGTAATGTGTATGCGTGTGCTCATGATGCAGGTTATTTAGCGCTATGGATCTTCTTAATAACCATATTCCGCGATAGCTTAAACAAGTTGTATGTCTCGGCTGGGCGATGCAAAACTGATTGATTAAACATTTACATAGACTAGAAGTATTGTAAAATGGCTCCTAATATTCGTTGGAACAATATCTTCTTTGCAACAAGAGCGCCCATTGCCTATTATTTATTTGAGATCCTGATTATTTATCATGCAAACTATGAGCAGCCAACATAGTGGTTGTAAAGTGCAACTCTTGGGGTCCTAGGTTCGATCCCGGCTGTGTGCCAATGGACTTTCTGTCTATTTACGCGTGAGGAAACTGGCATGCTTTAGACCAAAAATCGACAGTGTCAGGCACAGAAGGCCGATCATCTACTTGCCTATTTGAAACGGTCAGTTTGTATGTATGCAACGTATAATTTAGGTAATCAAATATTAAAAAAAAGTGCGTGCGTACAAAGTACACATGTCAGAAGTGAAACTTCTTTGTAAATTAACTATTACTATGGTAAAAGCCTCAATAGATGATCATGTACCAGTATATGATCACTCCATGTATTTGTATATCTATATTCACACTGCTTACACACTGGATACGTGCTAATGATACTTTAAAAAGATAAAAATTTAAGTGTCATTAAAATATTAAAAGTGTTGAAAATTAATACAAATAATAAATTTAATATCTTTCAATTTATTTCTTCAATAATAAAAACACGTGGCATTTTAATTTACAATTGAAAATTGATATTTCAATAAATTATTTTTGCACAAAATATAAAATACTAATTGTATTTCATAAATTCTCTTTACGAAATTTTAATTTTAAAAATAGAATTTCAATAAGGTATTAGGTAATTCACTAAAGAAGTTTCTCTTCAAAAATTGAAAATACAAAGCGTTAAAATGTTCAACATTTCTAGAATGTCATAATCATGCACTGAATTTAAAATTTTAATCGCCATTACATCGCGTGCTTAACAGGATGGTACGGGTTGACACACCAAAGCACGCGAAACGTCAACAAATCCTGACACTAGAATGACACGGATACTACTTTAATGAAGTCATAAAGAATGAATTCGCAGTCAATCAATCTTAGTCATATACAGGTAGGTACCTAAGATACGCTCAACAAACTATCGAGATGGCTATGCTCGGTGCTTCTCGACGCGAATCAGAAATAAGAAGAGAAGAACCAAAGTCACTAACATAGTCGAAAGAGCGTGTCAAATGAAAAGGGCCGAAGCACATTGCTCGAAGAACCTATAGCCTAGATCGGGTAAAAAATTCCTGGAATGGATACTGAGGACCGTTGGCGAATCACCCACACCCACCTGGTGAGGGTGGAGGGAACGCCTTTGTCTAGCAGTGAACATTGACAGGCTTAAACCGATACCTAGGGTGGTACTATCTACTTATGAAAAATCAAGATAAGCAATTATGAAGCTCTTTGTGTTAACACAGAAGCTTTCAAAATACTCCGGATTTACCCCGTTCAAATGAAGTTACACAACCCTGTTGCAAAACCAACTTCGTTAGCGAGCTTTCCGTAGTGCAAACTGGATATTGCGACATGGCTGGATTACAGCTATTATGTAAAATTAATAATCGATAAATCATACATTTATGACATTATAAATTTGATAGCTAATTGTAAATTTATATGTAGTTCTTATATACCATTTTCACGATAGTTAAATATTTTTGCAGTTATTCTTTTGGCGCGTTAGGGAAAAATGATGAGAGTAAATTTTTACGATGCACATGCTCACCGTCACTAAAACTGACTCGCTGAAGTTAGTTATAGTCAACATTTTAGTTTTTTTAAAAAAATGAGTGGTTCAGTTTATTGCCAGTTCTTCTCTTCGGTTCTACGCTCTTGATTTGAGAACTGGCAGTAAATGTAAAATTAGAAGCAATTAATGTATATTTCTTTTTTGACGTTCATAAGTGTACATTATGTTACCTATATGAATAAATGATTTTGACTTTGGCGCGTTAGGGAAAAATGATGAGAGTAAATTTTTCTATTGTTAGTGTCGAAAGTTAACATTTATGAAAAAAAAAAATATCTTGTTACGCCAAAGAAGTATAACTTCTAACGCGTGCACACACGTTTTTTTATGACTTTCATCAAAACATTTGGCTATAACTCATTTATCGATGTCCATTCATTAGAAGTGTAGACATACAAACAAGAAAGGCGCTTTATAGACTTTACTAAAAGGGTTTAATTTTAACTTGAAAACCATGACTACGCGCGAGAGAATATAACCGCTGAAATGCGAATAAATAATTAAAAGTCTTGGAACAAGGTCTCTCAAATTGGCAATTTTGTGTCAAAGACTTTTCGAGGACTATATTTCTTTGAATTTAGGTTAACTTGATTTACGTGTTTATGACTATGTTTTTTGAAGTTATACTTCTTTAGGCGCGTTATGGAAAATTGATAAGCGAAATTGAACGATGCGCGCGCACCGTTACACAAAATTAACAGAATGAAGTTGCCCACGGAAGATGCTACGGCATTGGACATAATTTAAAAACAACATTCGAATAATAATAGAATTTATGTTTCACTTAATGTAAGAGAATAATAATAAATATTTATTTATTTAATTTTTCAAATGTAAACTGAACTTTATTGACTATAATGACTCCTTTTCCAGTCTTTAATTATTTAATTGTAATTAACTATTTGCATGCAAGCAAAAACTATTTTTAATAATGCCAAAGAAGTATAACTTCTTACGCGCGTACATAAGTACATGCACCCTTTTTTTAATTTAGTTCAGTATTTCGTGAACCCGTGTATGCGTACTAAACAAAATGGCATATAACAAGTTCCTATGACATACCATGCCAGTACAACAACAACTTAAATGTTTTACGTAGTAATTATTAATTGATTCCCATTCAACTTACAGTGAAAATGCAAAACACTTTTTCCAAGGCAGTTTTTGCCGGGTACCACCACTATGTGGAACCAGCTGCCCACTGAAGTATTTCCGAACCAATTCAACTTAGCGTAATTCAAGAAAAGAGCGTACCAATTCTTTACACACATACACACAATTAATACATACAAATAAGTGATTAAAAATATAATATGTATATATATTGACAAAAACAATAAACTAAAAATAAAATAGTGTTATGAAAAATTATAAAATAATCAATATAAACTTGCTATGTCAGACTATGCCATCAATGCCACATCTAGTAAAAAATCAAATTCGAACATCTGTGTTTTGCTTGGTTGACTAATCAAGTTTATTATGTCTACCCACATTTTTGTTGCTGTTTTGTTTTGTAATTTTATATATGTACCTACATCTGTGCGCTCTAATTTCTAATTTTTAATCTTAGTTTTTAATATTGTTTCTCAGTATGTGAATTATGTATGCAATTCTTATGAGAAATAAAGTTATTCTTAAACCTAAAAGGCCGGCAACCCACTCGCGAGCCTTTTGGCAATGTGTGTCCATGGCGGCAATATTACTTAACATCAGATGAGCCTGGCCGTTTGCCCCCAGTTCCATAAAAACAATATATAATCGTATACAGTTTCTGTGGTACCAAAGTTACCAAAGCTATTGAAGTACAGTGTGTCTTTATCGATACTGTTTATACTAAAGTCGAATAAAGAATGGATGTTCTGAGAATATTTCCCTTTCTCCATCAGAGGCTTCAAGAGGAAGATCTACAATGTTACGATTGCAACGAAACCCTTTGATAATTGCTCATGATATGTTCCGCGTATGTTGCCAGTCTGCTTAGCTCATCTAACACGTTGTATGCTGTCGGCAGTAAAGCAATTGGTATTTACCGGACTTTTAAATATTATTTATTTCGTGCAGATAGCAAAAATTATATATGTATAATAACAAAAAAAAAGCTGTGTGTGTCAGCTACGACGCACGATTGGAGTTTACTCCTTACAAACGATAAAATGGCGATAATGTTCTGTGGCTGTCGACCATATTTTCATACTAAAGGTGGTAAGAATATATGTTTTTATAATATAAATGTTTGTAGTAGTAATAAAACGTCAACGTAAACCTACATCATCTATGCCCAAATAGGATTTTCTTTCTGTGACCAAAGTTACCTTTATAGTAAGAGAAGAATAAGAATGAACAATCTTTTTAGTTTTAATTTCACTGACCATTACTATTGACAAAACTCTATGGCACGCTAGACAATCTACTTTTATTTTTTACACCTGTCAACACTGACAATGTTGTAACATTGCTGTCAAAACGTAAATTCAAAATAGAAAAGTCTGTGTAATCCATCTCATTCTTTTACACGTTAAATCCATTTGTCTCTTTCTACATAACGCCTCAACTTTTCGTGCTACACATAACGCCTCAACTTTT